TATTGCCATCATGTGGCTGAACCAACACACATTGGACATCGCAAGAAGCCGGAATTTGTATATAAACAACAAGATATGAACACAAAGAAATCAATCGCTACATACAAGCTAGCGAAGGATATATTGGGTATTGAATAAAGCTTGTGACGAAGATATTGGATATTGGATATCGGTTGTCATGTTACCAGTAATTGAACGTTTTCGAACTCTCAAAAGTACTTTCATGTAATTTAACGTCTCAGCAGATTTTTTTTTTCATGACTAAAAATTCTGATTCTCCATTTTTCACATTAATCAAAAAAATTTGCTTTTCCTTGACCACGCAGTCAAGAAACCTTGATTAAACTCAATTCATATGGTTCTAAATCACAATAAGACAGAAACGAAAGTGGAAAAATGATTCAGCAAAGTAAACAGAACGAGCATCGTATCATTTGTTGTGGCTTTAGATATATATGGAAATTATCAGATGAAATGTTTGATAAAAGTCTTCATACTTAGTAGAAATAGATTTATCAATACACTTTTTCAAATGTTATGAAATCCCAAATTGGTTCTTGGGCAAATATTTGTCTCACAATTTTTTGTAAGTAGTATGGGCTAAGGACTCTTTCGATTTTGCTAACTACCAAGTCATTTGCGATAAATCTTGGAGCACAACTCACAATAGCCACTCCATTTGATTATTATTGTTGAATGAGTCTTTAGCCTGAGTTTTCTGATTTTGTAGACTTATGTGAAATTAATCAATTTGAGTTGGCTAGAACAATCATGTTTTGCCGTATTGCTGGTGGAATACTCTTGGAATCAGTGTACTTAAGTATCTTAAATCTCTTTGTTGTACGTTTTATTGGTGCAACCGTTATCGGTGAATTTGTTCTAATCTTTATTCGTAAATCACAATATATTTTGCGCACAACGTTTTTTTACGAACCCCTTCGGCTTCTGGTAAAGATTATGACCTGCAACGATCACGCTTTCAACGTTTTCCTAACGTTCTACACCTTACATGTTTACAACAGGATAGACAGATTAACTTACGTAACTTGATGAAAGGTTGGGAAGCTAGTGAACATCTTGTTATAGATAGGCGTACATTTCTTTTATGGCAGCACTGTATATATTAGAACATGAAGGTTGAAATCGTATTATTCTGCAACCGACGCTCAGGAATACTTTACTTTTATTCAAGCTAACGTCACAAAACAGTTAACCCATTTACTATTCCTGAATTATCTCCAGTCGATTTATTATTGTTCCCCACATTCACAGCCACATTTGGCCGGGTCTTATACAAATGTTGTTTTTTCTTTTATGGAACGATGTGATCTATTTGATTGGTATATAAACCCAGTATGTTTGAAAATAATGATTCATATTGCAGAAGCTGTTATTGGTGTTCTGGACTTAGCTGGCTGGGCTAAGCAGAAAACAGGACCGTCCAGTACTCTAGACTGCTCCATAATGTTCTCCTGTCCACACTGTTAAACACTTTCTCATAGTCAATGAAGTTGATGTATGGTGACGAGTTCCACTCGATTGATTGTTCAACGATGATCCTGTCGAACATCAACGTTGATGATCTAGGTCGAATGATTGGGGGCCTACTAGAGTTAGACGAGAATGGTGACAATCCGTAGTGTTACGATTTGGTCTGTGCATGATCAATTCTTACAGAATCCAGTCTGTTGATCACGAAGCTGGACGTCTACTCAATCTTTCATCTGGTTCAGCAACACTCTATTGAAAACTTCTGGTACTATAAACAGTGTAATGCCTCTTTAGTTGGGCTGTCACATTTGCTCAGATCTCCTTTCTTCGATATCTTGAGGAGATTTCCTTTTTTCCAGTCCGTTGGCACTTGTTCTTCCTCCGAAATCTTATTGAATAGAAGGTGAAGCATGTTTGAACTAACATCAATGTCTGACTTCAATGCTTCAGCTGGTATATTGTCAGGTCCCGCTGCGTTCCCATTCATGATTTGTCTGATGGCCATCTTGATTTCTTCGGTCGTTGGTGGAGTGACAGATATAAGAAGGTCTGTAGTCGTTGCTTCAATGTCCGGTGAATTCAATGGAGCTGGTCTATTCAGCATTTCCTGGAAGTATTTTGCCCATATTTTCATATGTTCTTAAATCTCCGTGATTGTCTTTCCTCGACTAGTCCCTCCAGTTTACAATATTTTCCCACCAGTTTCTTTGTTGTATCATATAGTTGTCTCACATTTCTTTCTATTGTAACTTTCTTCGCTTTCATTACTAGATCTCCCACGTATTTCTGCTTGTCGGCTCTAGTGCTCCTCTTTACTCTCTTGCTTGCCTCTGTGTATTCGGTCTTTGCCTTGACTTTCTCTGTTCTTGTTTGACGGTTGTTAATTGCGGTCTTCTTGTTCTTCTCTTCATGAATCTTGTCTAGAGTTTCCACAGAGATCCATTCCTTATGATGATGCTTCTTGCAGCCCAAAACCAAACCTCCTGATACGTTGAATTTAATGCTTGTTTGATCTCTTTCCAGTTGTCCTCCATTGTAGTTTCTTCGTTCAGTAGATATTGTAGGGCTAGGAACTTGGTGTTGAGAGTTATCTTGAATTGGTTGAGTTCGTCAGTATCTCGTAGGAAGGCTGTATTGAACCTTTTTTAACGATGTCCTCCCAGTTGTCCAGTGTTTCTTTAGCTTCAGTTTCATTTTGGCCACAACCAGGTTGTGTTCTGAAGCTATATCAGCTCCTCTTCTGGTTTCCACGTGTTCCATTGACCTTCTGAATATTCTAGTGATACGAATATTATTGATCTGATTCTCTATAGTTTGGTCCGGTGATAGTCATTTGTCCTCGTGTGAGTGTTTTGGAGTAATACTGTGGTGCTTACAACCGATTCGTGGTGTGGTCCGGTGAGATCCATGTAGCTCTGTGTACGCGTTTGTGTGGAAATATTGTGCCGCTCATAACCAATTTGTTGAATGCACATACATTTGCAAATCTCTCTCCATTTTAATTTCTCTCAGTCCATGTCGTCCCATTATATCTTCATATCCTGTGTTGTCTACTCCGACTTTAGCATTTAGATGTCCCTTCAGGATGATGAGGTCCTTTCTCGGGCAATTCGCTATGATTGATTTCAGCTTCGTGTAGATCTAATCTTTATCGTCGTCGTTGCTATCATTAGTGGGGCATAACATTGGATAACATTCATTGTGATCCCCTCCTTCTTTGTTTTGAATGATGCTTTGATGATTCTGGATCCATGATATTCACATCCTACAAGTGCATTTCGTGCTTCTCTGGACGGCACTAGAGCACCTCCCTGAGTGTGTGGAGTACTTTCCTCTTCGTGAACACAGTACAGCAGCATCTTTACTGTATATAGCTTTTGCAGTCCAGCTTGGGTCCAATGGGTTTCGGTGATTCCGAGTACTGCCAATTTGTATCTCCTCATTTTTTGCTTTTTGACTGATCTTTCCGGTCTCCTTAATTGCCTGGACATTCCATGTACCTATGTTAATTGTTGCTCTGGTTGTTAGAACGGGAATCAACCTCGTGACTTCCGAAGACTCTTGGCCTTCATCATGAGGAGTCCTAATTCTTCCTTTAACTTTCAGGGCAGTGTTTAAATGGTTTGAATTATTTTTTCTGGTTAGCGTTGTTTTGGCGAGTTAGTTTTCTACGGGATGGGGTCTCTAACCCCATGCCTAACCCGGGCTTGGGACCGGCAGTAACTCCAGAAGAGCTACAGGCGGAGTTATATTTATAGTTTTGTCTCATTAATTAATCTTTTGTTTCAAATCTTTTTAGCTGGTTATTCAATGGTACTGGAGTAAAATTATAAAATCTTTCAAAGTAATTGATCGAATAGGTCCGGAGTGTAAATTTCTTTTTAAATATGATGTCATCTGACTACTATTGTTATTATTGAACGCTAACCACCATCCATGATGCTATCCTTTCCTTTTTGATAAAATTATAGAAACTAATAATAACAATCTATCAGATTGAATTAAATGTAGTGTTCAGGCATTTTGTAAATTCTACAATTCTACATAAATGTTGTTTATCAAAGCTGTAACAACAACGTTAAAAATTAGAGGACTCTATATTCAGGTAAATGGTTAACTAGTTATAAACAAATTATAGCTTAGCATGAACATTCATCTGCTCAAGTTACCATATTTTGCATCAACAAAAAGACAGAAAAATAACACGACAAAAGTGCAAGGAGTTAGCATAGTATTGATAGTAAAAACAAAGTGCTATACATGGGGAATATAGTTAAAGAGTGAATAAAAATGGGAAACAGAAGATTTAAAATGACATTTGTACCTAAAATTTGTAAAGTCATAAAAAATTGCTTTACATTCTCTACTACAACCTGTTTCGACTAATTTCTACTAAAGTTTTTGGTCACAGACTAAGTAAATCTCGGAAGTAGCAACCAAGATATCTATAGGTTCCGGCAAGAATTAAACCAACAGACAATAACTTCACGAAATGGGTTATGGAAATAAAGCTTTCTGTACAATGTAGTAATAATTTTTAAACATTGATAGTTGCGTAAAGTGTTAAATATTATGGTAAAGGCATATTCATATTGTCAACTTTAAGATACTATACCTTGTAGTATCAGTTCTTATGTTAAGCCCATATACTTTATTTTAGTTACTGGCCAAGCCAATTCACCTATACATTGAGTCATATTTTGATCCTGTTAATTATTCGCTTATTGATTTTTACTATATTTTTATATGAGCGTATATGTGTGCACACTTCGTATCTTATTCATCATATGTCTGTCACTCATTTTTGTCCGACTATAAATGTTGATTAACGCTTGCTTAAATCGAGTTGGTTTCACAGCCATCTCCAATACGCATCATCTTTCGCCTCGCTCACTCGCTCGTTCACATTCGCTCAGGTGTTGTTAGCTTTCGAACCTGAGTTATTCGACAATAAACTGTAGTTGCTGCTATTCTTTGTCTTCTGATTTTACGCGCCGTTAAGATTAGGATTATAACGGTTATCGAAGTAAACGATTAACGAATCGCGACACTACAACCTAATAGCTTCATGATTGCGAAATTTATGCCTCTCATATGTATTTATTTTATGTGGTCTGACTTGAGTACATCGATTAAAAAATCCGCTTGTTATGAGACCGTGTAAACTGGTGTAGACAATTCTTTATGTTAAATATTCCATGTTATACCACTCCATCTTCTTCTGTTTGATTAGATTTTGGTGAAGATTTAAGAATCAACTTAAAGTCAGTGTATTTAACACCTCTAGCCACCTATTTGACCTATTTAAAATGCCCCGTATTCTTTAATTATCTTCACATTGCTTGATAATGCTGTTTGTATCTTCTAGTCCGTTTGGAATTATCCTACATAAACTACTAATATTTGAACAGCACGTGATCGGTAACCTTATTCTCTGAAGTAAGCATGTAGTGAAAATAAATTTCATCGCAGTTACTAAACTGGTCATTACAAATATCAATTCTTTGTAGATTACCACTGTATAAAGAGATTTCAAGTGCAAAGTATTCGGAAATAGAATGTGCATTCTTGGGAATCTTTTTAGTTCATAAAGATGCTTATAATAACCCCCATTTTATTTTCTAAATTTGTAGATGTTTAGATTAAAAAAGGCACATTTATTTATAAGCTAATTGTGTTTTGTAATTGAAATGAGTCAATTAAGTATTCTAACTGAATCAGAATTTAATCGAATACAAAATAGTGTAGAAAATGTAAATGAGGATTTCAATAATGATCTAGATCTTGGTAGCAATAACGACGAAATTAATTTATCCGATAGGATTCAACAGGAAGAAAATGATGCATTCATAGAAACTAATAGTTTAGATGGATTTCACAGAAGTCGAGAATTTCAAGAATTAAATCCACTCTACCTACCCGATAATTATGATAAACTTCCAGAATCTTTCGATATATCTACATTTCCACTGTCACATAAGCAAAATAATTTGAAAGAATCACATCTTTTAGAGTATTGTGAAAATTTTTGTCGACAATATGCTCATCTATGTCCTGATCGAACAAAACTATTTCTGATACCAACGAATGAATGTGATATACAGAAATTTGTTTGTACTACATTGAGTAAGACATATTTAAATTATCCTGAATTATACTTATGGTATGAGGCAGCTAAGTTTGTGGCTGATTTTCTCAACTTTGTACCACTTGTTCCATCAACTGAACTGCCTAAAAGACTTTTAAGTCCAATGACAACAGTCAACTTGCAAAAGGGTACTTGTTTTGAATATGCTACATTATTATGTTCACTCTTAATAGCTGCTGGTTATGATGCATATATAGTCAGTGGTTACGCAACCAGAGAATGCTGTTATATGGATGAAACTAGAGAGATATGTCCATATCTTATTGGAGATGTGATAAAAGAAACTAATAATGATATGAAAAGTGAAAAACTTGAACCAAAACGATATACTATCAAACCAGAAAAAGACTTAACATCAAAATATGAACACGCTATGACAATGAAAGACTTACAGGTTGAAGCGGAACGTGTTAAACAAGCCAAAAAAGAAGCAGAACTGGTTGAAGAAGAACGTTATAAACCAACTGTTGATCCATTATTTGGTCTTAGAATACATGCATGGATTTTAGTATTACCTGGTAAACGTGAAGTGCCTGAAGCATTTTTCATTGAAACATTGACAGGTCTTGCTAAGCCCTTAGATTGTTCGATGTATCTAGGTATAGAAAGCTTGTGGAATGATCATAATTATTGGGTGAATATGCAAGATTGTTCAACTGGTATATCCCATTTAAATTATAATCTAAGTGATGGTTTGTGCTGGGAATATTTATTACCTAATGATAGATTATCTGTCGAAGGAACAGGATTTTCAAGTATTCAACGGCCAGATATGTTCAATGTACAATCAACAATGAACAGTAAAACACCTATTATTAGTCAGCTAGCATCACCTTTATTAATCGTACCCAATTCATTAAAATCAAAAGACAATAACTATAATTCAAGTTTCAATTTAAATGATAATGATGCTCATGGTCTAACTGATAGTATTCATCAAGTTCGAGGAAATTTACACGTTAAATTATTAGGTAATTCACAAAACAAACCATTACTATTAGATTTACCACCATCATGGACCTTACCAATTCAGATCGAACAAAAATTATTTAAATTACGCTATCCAAATGGTTTTAAAAAGAGACTGTATAAATATTCAATTGTAGAAAACTTTGCGCCATATTCACAATCCGATGGTTTAATTTTAAGGTTAACAATTTTTCAAGATCGTGAATTAACCAATCCTACTGAAGTTAGGGAAACTTATGCTAATCGTAAAGATAAACTAATCAGTCGTAGTACGGTATTGAGAACGAATTGGATTGTCGAGAAATTTGATCATGGTCGTCAAACTAGTCATTTGGCTGAACATGGTTATTATAAGACACAACAAGGTGTACATACCATACGTTATATGATATTTGATCATGATGCTAGAATTGATGGCCTGTATAAACGTGAACAAACATTCAGTACAATGATAGAACATTTCAAAGATAGACATGATCACCTTTATTATCGTGAAGTACATTTCAGTGCTAAAATCAAGAAATTTGGTCCAGCACCAACTCAAAATAAAGATAATCCAGATGCATTTGCATTATCTACAACCAGCCAATCAAATATTGATAAAATCATTGAGAGATTTACACGTAACGAAGAAATTGAAGCAGATGAAGATATCGCTGAAAAAATATTTAATATAGCTGAAGAAAGAATCTCGCTTACCTATCATGTTGGTAAAGAACGTATTGTTCCGTGTACTAGAGAGTTTATTAAACCATCACCTTCAAATGACAGAAGAGATAGTATCCAACTTTATCCAGACACACATGTGGCATTTCAAGTAAGTATGAATTTAAATTATGATAAATACACTGTAATACTTAATAATAGTGAATACTATTATTTTAATACAATGAAGTGAAGTAGACATATTTCATCTCTATCCACTGTCAACTTTTATCTAACAGAATCTCTTCGATACTTGTTCATTCATATTCTTTTTCCTAATAATTTGACTATCTTCCTTCTATTGAACTTCTGAATTTTCGATATTATAAAGAGTGACAACTTCAACTGATACAATAATTTTAATATCTATATTTAAGTCTATGAATCTGACAATCTGAAAAGTGTCAGTTCATTTTCGCTAAATGAATTAATAAATTAACACAAACATCAGTAAATAACGTGAGCAATGGTCAAAATTTCAAAAAAGATGAATTTTTCCAAGTTTAAATCATAAAGTGATGTTAGCTAGACCACTATTGAAAACCTGGAAGCACTTGATGGTTGTTCAGTTCTAGTATGAGACTCATCAGCTGTATGCATTCATGACCCCACTGTCGAACCCCTAACATCCAGACCACTGGGTTCGTATTGAATATTGTACAAGTTTAATGTCAATAAAAATTCACCACATATTACTATTATTATTAATGGCTTTATTACAGTTTAAGAAGATTTTCGAACGCCAAGTCTTTACGAAATTAGTGAAGATCAGTAGTTTATAACATTCCATATTCAGAAGAAACCATAACTATGTAGTGGCTTGCTTTTCTCGACGAGAACGCGATTGGTATAATGGAAACAATTATTATAATAACAACTCATTGTACCAGTGGTTGTTTTACTGTACTCGTTGTTATTTAACTGTATCAAAATCACTTCTCGTTCCGTTATCCATCTTGTTTGTTCGAACATCCTTACGCTCTGCTCTAATTGCCTATACTTATTGGCGCGTGTCGGTATTCATTCGATATCACGAGATTGCCAATAAAAAAACATACTTTACATGGACTAGTTACAGCCTTCTGGCTTGCGAGTTATCAAAAGGATCAAGTCGTTTTTGGGCTCGTGTTCTTAGTGTAGTGGTGATCATAGTCAATCAAGACTCGACGCCATCTACAAGTAGAAGTTCTTATTGTCTTTTAATTTACTATTTTCACATTATCTACTATCTAAATTTTCAGTAGTATAAATAATAATTTCAAATAATATGATAATATAATTGTTTTTCATTTATAGGTAAATTTATTATCTAAACCTAAATCCCAAATTGAAATTTATAATATGCTTATTGATTTATTAAAAGAAGAAAATGATTCTATAGAAACAGTATATAAATCTATACATGAAATATATTCAATATTAAATGAACGTACTATTGAAGATTTACATGTTATCTTAGATATGGATCCATTTGATACATTACATAATATAGAAGCTAATCAATTACGTATAGAATTAGAGAAATTAGCTGAAAATGAACAAAATTCTAATTCTAATAATCATAATAATGATATAGAATATGATTATTTAGAACCATATTTGATACAATTTAATAATGATAATAATGATAGTAATGGTAATAACAAATTGACAATTGAACAAGCTTCAATAGTATATAATGATTGTTTAAATGAATTAAAACAACAATTAATTAATAAAGCAAATATTATACAATTAAATTATGAAAAATTAATTGAAAATTTATTAAATAAACAAAAATGGTATCAATTAAATCAAATTAATTTAAATAAACAAAATGAACATGATTATTTAATAGATTGTAATGAATTATTATTTAAAATTCAAACATTAGAATCATTATTATTAGATCATAAATTAAAAGCTAAAGAAAAATATAAAGAATTAGAAAAGAAACTAAAAGCAGATCCAAGACTTAGTGAATTATCATCATAATCATCATTTAAAATGAGTTAATTGATTATTATTATTATTATTGTTTTTTTCTTTTTTTCTTTTTCTCTTTTTTTCTTTCTTTGCTTCTTGTTGTTGTTGTTGAGGATGTTTTGGCTATTTATAAATGAATGTAGATAATAATAAAGTGAAATAGTAAAGAAATCAATTCAAAGAATGAATGGTTTTGTTTTTCTTTTTTAGTGAGATGATGTCAGAATGACGTTGAGACGATTCACCTAATTGACTAGAGTCAAAAGAGCTTAGTATAAGTTATGACTGAATACAGTGATCTTGAGTGCTGTTAGAGGTATGAGGGCAGTTGTCACTTTCCGGTTGCCCACACAGTGAGAGAAATTCGGTTTAGAGTTGATCTTAGGGATCTGAGAACGTGTCCGCAGTGCACAAGGGACAACTGCTTGAGGTCGGTCATATACGACCTTTCTGTGGGTAGTTTATGTTAGCTCCGTACTCGTTGGGACCTTACCGCTGGAGACGGATATCCGTGGGATAAGGCGAGGTGTGCATTTTTAGGGTTGACCTTTTTTAACCCCACCCTTCCTTGTGGGAAGGCTGGTTGTCTGAAAAAAACACCTTATTGCCGTTACACCTTTGTACAGTCAGCAGTATGACTTCGCCTTCGGACCTTGGGTTTGCTGCTTTTAGTCTTACCGCTCTTCAACCAACCTGTCTCGCATGATAAGACCTTGAGGAATGATTGTTCCAGATAGTATAGTTCCATTGGTTCATCACGATAGGCAAGTCCAACCACCCACATCAAGGTAGCAGCAACGGTTAAAAATATATATAAAGATTGACATCATGAACTGAACAAGAATACGAGTGGGGACAACCGAATGTATGTGACATGAGATTACAGTAAAATATGACAGTAAAATATGACAATCATACAGCGAACAGTTAATTTGAAAACTACCAATCAATTGTCTCAGTCCTGACCGTTCCTTCTGCAAATATCAGTCCACTTTCTATGATTATTATTGTTCATCGGTTTCTGTACCAATTGCGTTTCGTTTCCATCCTTTCCTTATCGATCTTCTATTGAAATACATTCTATGCCTGACTATCGTCATATACTACTTATGTGGATATAATCAACCCACACCACAATAGTACCAAAATTCTATTTAATTATATGAATGAATGAATTTCACATCAAAGTTTAAGACTTCCTATTATTAATTTTATTGGTTCGTTTACAAATTATAGCGTCGTACATTTTTTGCACATAAATTTCATGCTGTAATATAGAATACGGAGTGAGTTTTTAATATAAAGTAAAAATAACCTTAAAAGATTCATTCGTTTATATCATAAACTAGATTTGGTTAAATGATCATTCGATAATTTATTTATATTTATTTAAATAGTTGAAAGCGTGAGTCAATTGAAGCTAGACCACCATGGAAAACCTGGAAGCAGTAGACGGCGGTTTCGTCTTATTGCAGGACTCCTCAGCAGTGCGCATCCACGACCCCGCCTCGCTAGATTCGAATCCAACAGGACGAAACCGCCGTCTAGTGCTTCTAGGTTTTCCATGGTGGTCTAGCTTCAATTGACTCACGCTTTCAACTATAAAAATACTAAATCTCCATAAAACTTCTTCTGATAATAATGTATTTAAGAAAACAACTAGACGATAGTACTCTCGGCTGATCTTAGGTTCTCACAGTCAATTATGTACCGTTAAAGAGCTTAATAAACTACAGTCAATCTGTTTTGTTAAAAATTGTTTGTTTCTCAAAGAGTAGTCATCAACTTGGAGCTAAACGATTAATTTTTCTAACTGAATCCTCAATAAGTAAGTTTTGTCTATTAATATTTAGGGTTTTCGAGATACAATAATCCATTAGATTACTTTTATAACTTACAAATAAGCCTATATTAGCCAGGCAATCAGTAAAAGCTAACATTGCAAATATGGAAGAGAGGATTTCAACTAAAAACAATTAAAGAATCGTCCTAATCATTATAACACTGACGAGGGATGCAAAACTAGGACGAAACAGCTATCTAGTATTTTGTAGCACTTAGTGGTCATCCAAGTGAAATCAAAATAGAGATAATCGAGTTTGGACAACAGAAACTGAAAGGGCTACGTTGTTCTTCCAGGATCATTTTAATAGTGTAATTTATCAGTTTCTATATTTACAAACACCTTTGCTAAATATAACAATATTGTACTCGTAAGTTTTAGATGCTGAAATCCTGATATCACCTCACTTTTTTAAAGTGAATTCAAGAACACCTTTATACCATATGACGATGAAACATACTGGAATTGTGCTAACTTTGACATTTTCTCTGTTAGATAATTTCATATTAGTCCTGTGAGTTGGACAAAACTTCAGATTGTTAATTTTCCATAAGACAGAAAACAACTCAGATTTCAAAGCTTGAAATGTCTACTAAGTTGTTCTTTCTAAGTATAATTACAAGCGAATTTAGAGAAAATAGGTCACTAATCGGTTATGTTTTACTATCATCTTCAATCTTATTAGAAGCGGACTGACTTCATATGAAACTGAATATAAATCTGATTTATTCTTCTTATTGGGATTAATTTAAGGGTTTGTTACAATCTCAGTTTACGACTAGGAACCTTATTTAAGGGGATCAATCAGCCTAAATTAGCAATATGGTTAATACTGTATTTTAAGGAATCAGAGCAAATGTTAAATACTGAGAACATAAATAGGTGAAATATTGTTTCTCTAGAATCACTTGACCAATATCTCGATTACATTAACCAAGAGAAAGGATACGATATCTGTCAATATAGACGAATGTATATTTGGATAAAATCAGTTTGTCACGACGTGTTAGCTAGGCCCGTTACAAGGAAATAGTGATTATGTAGGGGAAACAACATAACTTGACAAACCACTGAGTAAAATTAGTCTTTGACACCATACTGTCAGTTTATTTATTGCAGTGTAGGTGGAGAAGTCGATAAGGACTGTTAAAAGTATCGGGAACTTAATACCACTAATATTTCTAAAGGTACTGCTTCAATATACTCATAAACTGTTCAAGGAGTTTTCTAGCACCATGAACAACTAAGATTAGAATAATGAACTAACTTGTAATTAGTAATCCTTATCTTCCTAGCTAAGTCCATAACACAGCTCACAATGAATTGTAATAATAATGTCTATTATCACCATGCACGTTTCCAGTAATTTACCGAGCGGAATGTCAAAAGGAAAGGATAAAAACTGGGTGGGACGCTCTATTGCTAAAATCGAATAAAGTACTTCTTAAAAACACATATTTTTCACTTGGCTGGACTAATCCAGATAGGTACACTTTGGTGGTAAGGCAGAATAGATGAATTATATGCTTATTCACAATACTCTCGTTATATTTGCATCTTAATTATCATGTGACCCTTAGATGTTGTGCGATCCTTCTACCTTTGCCACATATGAGTATTCTTTTTTAAATCTAGGAATCAAATATCCAAGTTTTATATTTATTTTCATAGTTGAAATCAAGAGTCGATTGAAGCTAGACCACCATCGAAAACCTGGAAACACTGGACGGCCGTTTCGTCCTATTATGGGACTCCTCAGCGGTGGGCATTCACGATCCCGCACCCGCGAGATTCGAACCCAGGACCTATCAGTCTCGAGCTAGAGCCCTTAACCGACAGACCACTGAGCCAGCATCCAACGGTGTTTATGTCTAACTTCAAACAATCCACGATTTTGAGCAACCGTTCACCAATCGTCTTCAGTGAGTTGATACCTCACTACAAACGTGGTTCGAACTCCACTGGTCACTGCTTCTCACTAGAACTCCTGGATGTACTTCTCGAAGTCAGTTACTAGTGAGCATATGGTTATATAATTATTAGACGGGGTCAATTGACTCACGCTTTTAACTATGAAAATACTAAATCTCCACAAAACCCCTTCTAATAATTTATATTTATTGGTATACAGAGAATGTCAAATACTTCATGAAGATGTAAAAAAGGTACGTTTTCCAACATTACATAAAAACGAGCTCTGTGTAGCTAAGTTAGAGACACGTCAACTATATTCAACATGTAGAAAATACCAATCGAAAGTCTAAATCTTAACTATCAAACAAATTATTTAAATATAGAAAATTTTTTAACATATAGTGTTAGTCACTATCACATACCTAAATCAACAAAGGATTGTTGATGAAATAGATAACTGAAAAATGTGTTTAAAGAAACTTTGATTGATCAAGTGTAATTCGCGATTGGATCATAGAAAGTCCTAGATCCATGTTTTAGGTAATTTCAATTTTAATTACTCAGTACTACCATGGGTGGTTTAAATGTTGAGTGCACCATGTTTAAGCTGCTAAGATATGCATAGTTTCGTTTGAGATCTTCAAACATCAAAATATTAATTCTATCTTTATGAATGAATGTTATCATGAAAATGTCAGAAGGTGATCAACAACCTTCAATAAATTAAAATGGTTTATTAAAATATACTATTTTGTTTGTACCACAAATAATAATCTTCTGTAAGTTTTGACATTATCTTTTCATAGGAATTTCCACTTTCAAAAACTTTAAAATGGAACAATATAAGGACATAGGAGTGGTTACAAATATTCTCTCACTAATTCGATTCTTATCATACACGGTGATACTATGGTGTGATCTGCTTATATCCATATAAGTAGTATGTAGTGATGATAAGGCATAGAATGTATTTTGGCAGGAGACCGATAAATAAAGAACTGAAATGAAGCGTAATTGGTAGGAAAATGCATGAACAATGAAATTAGAGAAGATGAACTGATATTTACAGAAGGAACAGTTAATATTGCGACAATTGGTTGTTATTTTGCAAATTAACTGTTTGTCGTATGGTTAACAGAATTTAATGTGATAGTCTGTAATTTATGCTTAAGTGCATCGATTGTCTCCAGTCGTGTTCTCATTCACTACAATACAATCAAAATTCAAACACAAAATACCGTATTACAATTAACAAACTTTGTAGGTAAATAACTAAGCCATTTGTTATTGAAAATATTTAACTGACTGTTATGTTTGATCAGTGTAAGATATAACGATGATTAATGGTTCGAAAGGGCGCCAAGAATCGGAATGATAAAATAATAATAAGAAATATTTTCAGTAAATACTATTTGAAAATATACAAACTAA